TAACCACAAAGTTCGTGGAATCTTTGTCTTAGTGTTTGGAATTTTTACAATCAAGGAAGAGCCTACATCCTCAATATCATCTACAGTTAAATTGACTAGTTCATCAGTTCGACAAGCTCCGGCAATCTCCAGAATTAATCCAACCTATAAAAAATCAAAATACTTAATAATTGAAATACCTAACAACAAAAGTAATCTTACCTTAATCATTAAGAATTCTTTGTCATCTGCACTTGATAGAAAACTGTCGATTTCACCCTTTGTCAATATTTTCGATTTTTTCGCTTGATATCCGTCACCGGTTCTTTTCAAAAATGCGATCAGCTTGGGGAATTTGCTTATATCTATGTTGTCGTAAATTATCAAGCATGACTTAACCATAGAATATTGCGCCCATAATGTGGAAGACTTGTAATTCTTTGCATTTTCACTGAAGTATGCCAACAAAACATTCTCGCTGTATACTTGAACATTTTTCTCGGCGCACCACTTTTTGAACCGATTGTAGGCTATATCGTATAAAGATCTTGACTTCGTAGGCAGCAAATTGCTTATTGCAATATTTGCAGCCTCCACAATCTCTTCCGACTCACAATTATTCATTGTGCACTAAACAAACTAGCACCTTAATTTGACAATTCTTTTTGTTTGTTTATTTTGTAGTTATGACAATAACTCAACGACTACTAAATAAATGCTCAAATCCGAATACAATAATTCTGGTGCTACTTACTTCATAATGACAAAATATGTGTTTTTAGTTAATGAGACCGTGGAAAAAATAGTATATACCATTCGGGAGAGATGCTATTTTGTCCTCGGTGCATTGTAGCCCTCGGGCTTCGCCCTCTGGCTTCAAATTGCACCTCTGCCAAAATAACGCATTTCTCTCCCTTATAGTATAATGTACTATTTCGTTATTTTCGACAAGTTCTTGAGTTGAAATAAGCGTTTTATCATCAATTTCGGATGGAACATTCTGACATTCATCTGAGCACGCACAAACTACACTGCATTCCAGGTTCGATGACAAACAGTTACAATTTTTCGTAGAACATTTTCCACTACATGAACAAAAATACTTTTGAAGTATATCTAACGCAGTTTCTCCTTCGAAATAATCCAAACCATTCTCGATTTTCCATCCATGTGTCAATGGATCTAGAGATACAATTTCACTATTTGTAATTATCAGAAAAATACCCTCTATAAAATAAAAAAGTTTCATGCTGTAGGTTTTTGTTTTAAAAATGTAGCCGGTTACCTTAATTTAAAAGCATCTTTTTAGGAGTGAACCGCTCGCCTATTTTCGTCGAACTAATAATGGTAATTATTATCAGTTTACATGTCCAGCGAGAGCGACTGTTGGTCGACTCCCGTATCTTCCAAATGTTTACTGTTACAGTTCTGGTTCAAGTGGAACGTGAAATATGATACTAATCGGCTGTGATATTATTGCCTCGGTGCAATAACATACGCCAGAGATGTACAATTCGTCGAGGACCACGCGTTACAGTTCGCGTTTCTAACGGAAAAAGGGTCCCTTCTGGCACGTGACGCAGAAGGGCATATGTCTTTGAAAAAAATAGTAACAGTCACTTCCCGGAAGAATCGGCGGTAATCGAGCAAGTGTAACGTTCTTTCCTGAACGAATAAGTGAAAATTACATATAAAAATGTACTCTACATTAAGAAGTACGTTATTCTTTAATAGAAACTGAAACCCCTTTTCGTGTAGAACAATATTCGTGTAGATGTCGCTACACAAAAATCAAACTTACATAATAAAGGCAAATCTATATACCCTAAAGCTAGGTTATTTAAAAAAATTGTTTTGTATGTTTAGGAATTGTATAAATTTAAGAAGTAGGTTTGGGTTATCTCAAAAAAATTTCTCCTTTGAGTAGTTATGTATGTCTTCGACTTCCATTGATTACTTTGCAGTACAAAATACACCTTCACAACCAATTTTTGGCATTTAAATATGCAAATTGCATGCAATTAAACTAAACTCCTAAAAAAAATCCGAAAGATAAATGAAAATTATTGATTGAATTTAATTCTAATATAACTTGTTAAATAAGGAAGTGTTGAATAAAACATGAATGAAACTTTAATTAGTATATTTACTAAAATTATTATTTATTGTGTAACTATTTATTAAACTACAACAAAAGGACTAATTCTGCGAAGAAATCATAGTTTGTTTTTAAAAATAAAACGTACACATTTATAAATTAATTAACCGCTGAAGATTTAACTAGGTTCGTTTCATTGTTGCTTTATTCTCTTTATCCTTTGCTCACTGCTGTGTAGAATCTTATAATTTGTTCCACTATCATAAAAATATATTTCTATTAGAGTAACAATTGGTATGTTTTCTATTGTTTTTGAAACAGGCAACCGGGGACACTCATTATCAGTTATCAGTTTTGTATTCGTGACATTGAGAAGTTTTTTTTTTATTTGAAAAATTTTATAATTGGTTTCAAATTAATTATGTCACTGAACCGAATAATGATAAAAGCTTTTTGCACCTCATTTTTTAAACTAAATACGTAGCTGTTGTAAATCATTGGATAGAACAGCCAGTTAGGGGTTGCTTCTGTAAAGTGATATTCTAAGAGGTTATTTAAAAATAAAATAATTATAGGATACAGTTAAGAAATAGCAAATTACATATTTTATTTAGTCATGTTTGATAAGAATTTTCTCCAAATAATATTAAAATGACATCTTTACTGAAAACTTCAGATTAGGAAAATTCGGATGAAAATTCATTACATTTGGCAGCAATCATATCTTATAACAATCCAGTCGGTTTGCATTTTTATATGCATTATTGTTGCTGCAATACAGTATAGACCGAGAAAAAAATTCCTGAAAAAAGCTCGTTTTCTCATGAGTTTATTTCAGACCTTGGCTTTAGGGTAGCCATATAAAAAATATGGTTCTGACTACTTCATGATATGGCAGTATTGCAGAAATTATTTCATCGAAATCGGCCGGGTAGATTTCGAATAATTGAATTGTTAATTAAGAAAATACAGAATTATACTTATTTTTCAATACTTTCTCACGGTAAACCCAATGATCATTTTAAGCTCCCAATTTTTGTACATACCCTTTGGAGTCTGAATTATGAATCCCCAATTAAAAATTTTCGATTTCATCCATTTTAGCAACAATTAGGATTTTTTCAAAATTCATTCGGAAAAATACTTATGAACATTTAGAGCTGGAGCTACTGTATTTGCATATTCTTCAAATAGGATGAAATAGAGGAAGGATTGACGAACAAAATCGCCTTTTGATCTTGTGGATACGATGAATCATCATCGAGATATGAAAGCTCAAAGTTGAAGTGAGTTTACGGAAAAACAACGTACTGTACAATAACAATTAAAGGTGACTATTTCCAACAAAAATCAGTGTTACTGTTACTATATAAAACATCCATACAACCTACTTTTCAAACAGATACAGACTGGACTATAATAGCCGTGTTTTATTTATCTGAGAACTCACCTAACTGACAAACCTGCATTCAAAATAACCGAAATTAGTCAAGGTTTCAAGTAAATGAAGCACAGCTAATATTGCTAGTTACTATCTATGTATTTCTTTCTGCAGAGAATCCCTCACAGTTGAAAAACTATTTGCACTGCGTATGACCCAACTGTGACTATCGGCAAACGGTGTTCCTTCTGTTAGCTATTTTCTAACCTCATTACATTTTTGAATGATTTGTTTGACAATTTCTAAAAATCTTAAGACATAAAATAATAACTCTACTGGAACATAGAATTTTTCTGATAGTAAACCGTTTGAAATCTATTCTGCAAGAACATTGAACCATCTATTAGAGTTTCACTCTGCATGAAGGCTAAATTCAAATTGCGCATGCTCCTAATAGTCACAAACTACAGACAAAAACCTTATAATGCGCTATAAGTTTGTAGTTTTCAATCTGTTGCGAAAAATATATCCTTTATAAACTATGACATTGTAGGTATATTGTGTAGGTATCTACTGTTTTGGTTTTAGTACAAGAAAAAATAGAAAATAAAAAGTACTTGACATAATTTGAGACTGAGTAATAAAATATAAAAAAAAATAAACTGCATTTTTTTCTCCGCTCATAAAAAACAAATCTTCATCGATTGTTTTGGGACAAGGTTTGGTTTCATCAATTTTAAAATTTTTCACATGTATAACACTAAAGTGAACAGAAAAAGTAAAATGTCACAAATAAATAATTTGAGACAATAACTCAAAGCTGCATCTCCTAACAATATGGCTATAGTGTAACCAGAACCAGAGCGATTACAGCTTGCTACTAGACTGCAATGTTGCCAGTATTTTTCATCCGCAGGTCGCCAACTGACCATTCAAAACCGTCCAATTTTCAATAAAATTATTTAAAATCTCTTGGAGCAAATTATTTTTGACATCCTTTATTATACTTGTTGGGTGCATGGAATTTTAATATTTTTGCGGTCAAGGTTATCCATTTTATTTACTGACCTTGTTAACTTTCTTAATGCCATGTCAGTCTATCAAATATTGCTCAAGTTTATTTGATCAGAATAGTTTGAGTAACTCAAATCTCTTATTCTACGAATTTGATAGTCTCGTACACAGCTATTCCAAATTAAGTTTATATTTCTGTAGGCCTAATGGCAATTCAGAAAAACAGCAAAAAAGCAAATTGATTGCCCATTGCTTAAATTTTGGAAATTTATTAGTATATACCTTTACTAAACTTCTTGCCAGTTGATATACATAATTTATCGTCCATTTTTCGTTTTTTTTTATTTCGCTTAGCGTCAAAAATAATCGTCACGCAAAACAAATATTTAGTCGCAAATGAATGCCCAATTCGCCCATACCGGCAACCCTGCTGGACACGTTGCTCGACCCCCCAACCAACTATTTTACAATTTAGAATAGCGAGTATTGCCCGCACATTCAAATTGACACGAATATGTTTCGTTCCAGACAAGGAGACAGCCACCACCACGCAGCATGGTGAACAGCGGTTCCTTCGACTCGGACGGGCAGGGGGATCGAAATGCCAAAGCCGGACTCACGCAGCCACACACAGCCCCGGACAGCACGCAGTCCTCGAGCCCAGTCACCGCCAGCGCCGCCACATCGTGTAACTCCGGCTTCTCCCAAACAGCTGACAGCGGGCTGCCCTCCGTCGCGCACGCCATCGAACCGACGCCGACAAAAACGGAGTTCAACTGCGATATGCCCGTCGAGAATTTCACGAACCTCTCCTCCGTCGACGGGGTGGCCGAGGAGAGTGCGGGGTCGCGCGTCGCGGACGAGAAGACCAGCCTGTGCTGCAGCCTGCCCCTGGAGAAGATCCAGGGGGTGCTCACCTCCTACCACCCGCCCCCCGCGGCGAAGCCCGACGATGACGGTGCGGCGAAGGCGGCGAAGCAGCAGCCCACGCGAAAGCTGTTGTGTTTGTACTGCGACAGGTCGTTCGTCAGCGCCAATCTCAGGCAGAAACACGTAGAACGCATCCACTCGGCCAAACAGAACCGCAGGGTGAGCTCCCGCAGGCAGAACCAACTAACCGTGACACCATGTGTATACTGTGATAGACTTAACGGTACCGAAAACACGTTAAAAGATCTCTTCCAACACCTTATCAACGAACACTCTAGCAAATACTTCGGCTGTCTTCCCTGTGAAGATAGGTTCCTCACGTCTTCACTACTCGCCGATCACAATGCCGTCAGCCACCAGTCCAGCGCCTCGCGGACCAACCTCGACCTTTCGACCCCGGAGAAAACCACCTCAAAATCACCCGCCCTGGAAAACGCCAAGGTGGGATCCGAGGAAGAAGTCGTAGAGATTCCCGTGAAAATCACCAGGAGTAAAATGAAGCCAAAGCCCGAGGAAGACGACAGGACTAAGAAACCAGTCACCGGCAACAAGAAGAAGTCCACGAAACTCAAAGAGCTGAGGTCCAAGAAGCTCTCGGTGAAGAGTTCGAGAATAGCGCTGAAGCGGAGGGAGAGCAAACGACTCCAGGCCATAGCGAAGTTAACGGACACTCAGAAGAAGAAGAGGCCCCGACCGGTCGAGAAGAAATCCTCCAACCAAGGCAGATCGGAGCAAACCAATAGTACAAAATCGACTGAAAAAACAAAGACAAATCCAACCTGTATAAACCCCTATCCAGAGTTCGATCATTTTTACCGAGTGAAAAAAATCACGGATCATTCCATTGATAATTTAAAAATTAGTTCTTTAACGTTTGACGACGTGTTCGACAAAGCGTTCTTTAATCGTATTAGGTGCAATATAGAAGAGAATCTGTTACATCACATTGATGGTAAGCTCTTCAAGAACGAGGAATCGGAGAGCAGGATATCGAACTTCGAGAAAGTCTCGAATATCCCGCAGGAGATACAAAACGCGAATTCGGAAAATTTCGGCTGCGAGCTGTCCCTGAACGCCGTTACCCCGGTGGCGTCCCTATCACTCAATTCCCAGTTCGGGGAAGACTTCGAATCTCAGATCGAATACGGTTCGAAACCTTCGAAGAAGAAGACCCAACCCAGGAAGGACGAGATCCACTACAAGTATTTCACCAGGCGCAAGTACCAGGCGAGTATTCTGGAACACAAAGAAAACAGAGACCTCAGCAAACTGGACATGTGGACCCAGCTGGTGATCAAGAAGCGCCAGCAGAAGATGCTGGACGACAAGAAGAGCGCCAAGGAGATCCTGGAGTACACCAGCTGCAACGAATACAAGAACAAGCTGAAGCGCGAGGAGCTGAACAGGATCCTGGACCGACGCGGTCCCTTCGAGGATTTGAAGGAAGAGGCCAGCAAGAAAGCCGCTTTGGACAAACTCAATTCCGCTTCTGAGGACAACATAAGCGAGGAAACCTTCACGGAGGTGCGGGAGGTGTTGAACGAGATCTTGAACAGGGTCTTCGCGACAACCGAAGAAATAAACCTTACGATCGCGGCTGAAACCGAAAAAAATTCGTTTTCGTGCAGCAGGAAGGAAGACGTGAGGGAAATCCCTGCTTTCCTGAACCTAAGACGGACGTCCTCGTTGCCTAGTGACGGGGAAATAGACAAATCCGACAAAATAGCGCTGATCTGCTCGTCTCAGGAAACGGAGAACTTCGAGTTGCCGACTAACCAGGTGCGCGGGAAGAACGAGCTCATCGAGCTGACCGGCGAGTGGGCCAGGTGCCGGATGTACATTTGCGCCGCATGTGGCGCCAAACTACCCAACATGAGGTACCTCTTGGAACACAAGAGCCTCTACCACCAGAACGTGTGGGTCCAGCACTACGAGTTCGTGGGCAACCAGAGCGAACTGTACAGACACCTCAGCATCCCGGCTTTGGGGAAGGTGGGCGCGGTGGAGGACAGTGTCCAGTGCAAGTTGTGGAGACGCAGTGACGCGCGGCTGTGCACCAAGTGCGGGAAACAGTGCAATTCGTTGGGGGAGTTACACAGACACATCTTGGAATGCGGGGGCGATTGGACGTGGATGCTGGCGAGGAAGAAGTGCAAGTACAGGCCGTTCGGCGCGAAATCCAGGCGGAAACGGAGGGGTGAGTTGGTTGTCTCTTCTTACTGTCTAATCGAAATATTTTTATTCCTATAAAATATCAGGTATAGGATAAATACTGACTAAAATAAATACCCATTATACAATGCTTATAAATAGGCTATGAAAGTGACAGTTTTAATCAGAAATAACTGCCTGTTTTGTATTTAAATTCGCCCTTATTACTATCATAATTACAGACACCATTGGAGCTTACATAATTTGGTTATTAATAGTGAAACCCGTTTACAGCTTTTTCCGTTTTTAAATTGCTTAATGGGTTAGTAAGCCAGTAATTGTCACTTTATATTTTTTGTAATTTCGGAAATAAGATTATTTACACACCATCTCTGTATGGAACCATGTTTCTAGTATATTTATCGAGGGGCGATCCGCAAAGGAAAAAACGTACGAAGATTACAAAATTTCTGAAATCTCTTGTAATGTATCTGCAGATTTCAATATCAATTAAAAAAAATTACAAATTTCATATAAATAATCAAGATTACAATATATTTCAACAGATTACAAAACATTTCAGGAGATTTCAGAGTTATTTTAGTAGACTTCAATGATTATTTAAGATTTCAATATCATTATTAGGAATTAAAAGAAGATTTCAAAATTACAATAAGTTTTGAATGTCCAATTGAACAAAAATAATTGAATTAACTTCAACTGTCATTCATGTCATTCATTAACAGTAGTAATTTGATTAAGAATTTCCAATATCATTTTTACGTAAAAATTGTAACATTCTGATTAAGCTTTTGTTCGAATGAACGTTAAAAACTTTTTGTCATGACAAAAATGATAACACCATTTTGAAAGTAGGTAAGTACATATTTTTATTGAAAGATAAAAATATAATAATCCAATAAACTAATAAAAATAAAAAAAGTAGAAGTAGCATAAACATTTTTCCAAAAAATAAATAAGAAATATATTAAGCTTTTATTAACACTTGTATTTACTACTTTACCTGTATACAGCGTATTTAAAAAAGACGCGGCAATATTTAAGGGGGTGATTGCCCAGGTCATTTTATATATAAAAGTTCCTATAAACATAGGTCCGCAAACGCTTCGTTACCGATCTACAGAATGTTGAAATTTCATTAAAAAAACAGTAAAAATTACATTTCTCCAAAACCGCTTGAGATATAATGAAATTTTGGGCCTGTCAATAGCTATGGCAGACGCGTACTTTGCAATACAAAACGATTTTTTAGTCTTATCAGTGACGCGCGTATTGGCACGTCACTAGCTATTTTTAAAGAAAAAAATAGGAAGCCGATGGTTTTTCTAAAATTAATTTTTTTTTAATTCCTTGTTCAATTATGAAGAAGAAAGCTTTCCTCAGATTATACGCACCGTACGACGCACCGTTATTGAGTAAAAAAATAAAAAACATTTTATTGCGCACCTAAAACCAATGTTGTTTTAATTTAGAAATTCAAATTATTGAACAAAGAAATTCAAATTATCAAATTTTATTGATTTTTGAAATGTGGTACTGTTGTTTGTAGTAGGTAATAATAAGGGGCTACGTTTTGGAGAAATTTAATTTTTACTGTTTTTTAATGAAATTTCACATTCTGTAGATCGGTAACGAAGCGTTTGCGGACCTATGTTTATATTACCTTTTTTTATAAACTGACCTGGGCAATCACTTCCTTAAGAAGTATTGTCGCGTCTTTTTTAAATACGCCGTATACAAGTAAAGTATTAAATGCAAGTATTAATAAAAGCTTAATATATTTTTATTATTTAGTTTTTGGGAAAATACTTACCTACTTTCAAAATAGCATTATCATTTTTGTCATGACAAAATGTTTTTAACGTTCATTCGAACAAAAACTTAATCAGAATGTTACAATTTTTGCCCAAAAAATGCCTGATACTGGAAATTCTTAAACAAAGTACTACTGTTAATGAATGAAATGAATGACATTTGAAGTTAATTCAATTATTTTTGTTCAAATGGACATTCAAAACTTATTATAATCTTCCCGTATTCCTTGAAATCTTATTAAGAAATTTTGAAATATTCTTTTAATTTCTAATAATCCTATTGAAATCTTAAATAATCATTGAAATCTCTAACAACTCTGAAATCTCCTGAAATGTTGTAATCTGTTGAAAGATATTGTAATCTTGATTATTTATATGAAATTTGTAATCTTTTTTGAATCGATATTGAAATCTGCAGATACATTACAAGAGATTTCAGAAATTTTGCAATCTTCATATGTTTTTTCCTTAGCGGATTGCACTTCGAAGCACACCAATCACACCATATAGGTTTCTGTCGAGGTTTTTGTGGCATCCTTGGGAAATTGAGGTAGGGGGGGCGTTGTATAACTACACTAGATTACGTAGATTACAGATAGATTACATAGATTACGGATAAGATTACGTAGATTACAGATAAAATTTCATAGATTTCAATTTCAAAGGGATTCTTAGATGATTACAAAATTTCAAAAAGATAATTATTAAAACGTCTTAATTACACGGAGATTGCAAAGATTTCAGAAACGATACATAAAGATTCCAGGGCAAACGTACGAAGATTACATCAGCGGATAGCCCCTCGATATTTATTTGAAGCCAATCATAAAACAAAGCACTTCTTTCGTTAGAAGCTTCAAAATAATTTGAGATGTGGCTGCACCTGTTTCTAGATATTTTCTTAATGTTTTTGCGTACACTACAGGTGAATTACCTTAAATAGTTATACATAGTTTTATATATATTTTGTTAATTTCAATGTAGATCTTGATTTATAGGCAGGGAATGGTAATCACTGGAGACTTGACATAGTTCAAACACAGTAATTGACATTAGGAACAATACAATAGTAAAATTCAAAATAATTTTTTAATTTTGGCTTTATTTATTGCTAATGGTACACATTATACCTGTCTGGTAAAATATGGTTAAGATCTCTAGAATATCCAGTATTCCGTTATCTTTTCTTTAAGGTATTTATTATTAAAAGAAAAATGACGGCAGCTATTGACGATCGGTGATATAATTGACAGGTGAAAATGTATGCAAAGACAAAAATAAGTTGTTGAAAACCGATGGAATTCATTGGAGAACTTTAAAAAAATAAAGCATAAATTTGTGACAATAGGATGTTTGCCACCTTTTTAGATATTAACCAAAATGCCAAAAAACTTGCCCTATACTATTTTATTTTTTCATGAAATCATCAACTGGCAATTTAGAAAAATATAAAACAAAAACGAATTTGTCGGGCAGGTGCGACTCTAAACCGTGTCTTAGTTGGAAGGTCAACTATAAAGTCTCATAATACTGTTCACATTTTTGTTTACTAATAGCAACCAATACTAATAGAGGGACAGAGGAGTCACTTAAATCAGTTTTGTATAATAACAACGCCCAACTCATTCCACAGTCTAAGCGCGTCACAAGTTGGTAATAAGAAGTAGGGCACGAATTGAAATTTTTTAAATAAAATAAAATAAAATTGCATATAATGATTTTAACTTTCATTATAGACTAACATTCAGTGACAAAACACTACACTTTTTTATGCAAACACCCCATTACTAGAACTAGAAAAAAATGTTGACATACAGTGTGTCCAAGATAAGGATGGGATATCATTAAGATCTAAAAAATGGTAATGATACGGGCTGGCTCAGATTAGAAAAAAGTTGTGTTTTTTATACCTAACAATATGCCGTTTATAAAGTTTTAAAATTCCTGGTAGTTCCGGAGATATCCGGAAAAACCCGAAATTTTGCAAAATTGTTTAATTTTTTTTCTGGCTTTATTTGAAAACGAATTTTAAAGTAAATTGCATATTTACATTGCCACTTTTTCGCTCTATCCAATGGCAATCAATTTTTGCAATCCGACTTTTCGTCTTCGAGGGGCCATCATCAGGTTCATTTTTTTAAATACATCGCTGCTATTTTGATGACAAAATCTAGTCATTTTTAATTCAGAATTAGATATATTTATTATTGTAATCGCTTAAAACGGTTTTTAGCTTGTTTTAGCTATCATTTAAAATTTTTCCCGAGTACGACTCTGAACGCTTTCAAAATATCTATTGGAAGAAGTCATTATAGTATAAAAAATCAATACAGCACAAAATATCCAACAATTTTTTTTAATCAATAATTAATTTGAAAAAGTTGTAGGTACTTAATAAAAAATAATACGAATTTATGAAATGTTTTATTATCTCTAACTAGTATTGCTAATAGCAGTAAAAAAATTGTTGGATATTTTGCGCTGTACTAATTTTTATACTGCTATGTTATGAGTTCCTCCAATAGATATTTTGATAGGGTTCAGGACCGTACTCAGGAAAAATTTTAAATGATAGCTAAAACAAGCTAAAAACCGTTTTAAGCGATTACAATAATAAATATAATATCTAATTCTGAATTAAAAATGACTTTAAGCGCTTACAATAGTAATATCATCTAATTCACAATTAAAAATGACTTTAAATTTTGTCATATTTAAAAAAATTAACCTGATCATGGCTCCTCGAAGACGAAACGTCGAATTGCAAAAACGTTGACGCCATTGGATACAGCGAAAAAAGTGGCACTGTAAATATGCAATTTATTTTAAAATTCATTTTCAAATAAAGCCAGAAGAAAAATAAAAGATTTTGCTTTCGGGTTTTTCCGGATATCTCCGGAACTACCTGGAATTTTAAAACTTTCTAAATGGCGTATTGTTAGGTATAAAAAAACATAACTTTTTTCTAATCTGAGCCACCCCGTATCTGTTACCGTTTCCTAGATACCAATGCCTATCCCATCCTTATCTTGGACACACTGTATATGGTATGTCTCGGTATATGTATTATAATAGATATGGGTGAGTGCACCAAAAATGAGTAATCAAGTGTCCTTAGTTGTTAAAACTATTAGAAAATAGATACGGAAAAACGAATACGATTCTTTTACTTTTTTAAAAAAATGATAAGGCAGATTTCTGTTTTTAATTT